TTTTTTTTTTTTCAAAAACTTACAGCTTTTCCTTCCTTGACGGCACATTCTGCCAAATTGGCGGCATAAATGCAGGAATCTCCGTCAACAGGAGCTGAAAAAAATCATCAATTGTGAAAAAAACAATTAAAATATTTACCCGATTCGCATTTTTTGAAAATAGTGACAAATTTTTCATACAACTCGGCATCATCGGCTTTCAGCGGCTCTAGAGCTTTCAGAGCTCCCGCTCTGTTGATAGACCCATCGTCGTTTTGCTGAAAATGAAAATGAATTTTTCAGGTGTTGAAATTCCCAACTTACGATTTCGAATTGTTTGTGGAAGCAGAAAATCAAACATTTGCCTTCGTGACTCTCTGGCATTTTACGTTCCAATAAACTGTTGATATCATCTATGAAAAAAAAAATTTTTCAGGTTTCAGGAATTTCATAATTTTTTACCTTTGCTAGCGTTGGTTTCCGGGACACAAGTCTCGCCAATCGATTTTACTTTCGCCACGAATTTATCGATGAAATCTTGACTTAACTGAAATTTTTTTTGTTGTTTGAATTTTAAATTTTAATCAAAATGACTTACAGCGTTGGTGGCGAGGAACAAAGAGGCGAAAACCACAAAGTATTTCATTTTGTTGTTGTGTTCAATTGAAACTGATGTCAATTCGATGACAATTGTCTGTTTTTATAGTTAAATCTCTTGATTAGTCGAGGTCGCTTGAGGTGCACCTTTTTAGTAATTCATTATGAAACGCACCACAAATAATAGCATTTGCTTCCTCAATCACAATGTTTGTCCCATAATTGGTTTAATAACGTACTTGTTTTAATTAACAATGATGAAATTGAAGTTTTGGAGGTTTTGCAACTTGTCGCATTTTATTAATAAAAAATGTAATTGTTTTTCAAAATTAAAGTTTGGTTTCATTTCTCGTTTAAAAACTCACTTGATTTTTGATATTTTGGCTTTTCTAAGAATTTGCCACAAAAGGTCAAAAAATTTCTCTAAAAAATAACAAATTACATCAAAATTTATTCAAAAATTGCCAAACTAGATGAAAATTGACCTTATTTTGTTTTTTTTTTCAAAAATTTATCTTATTTTTGAACAGAAATTTACTTATTGTAAGATTTTGTCAAAAAAAACACAAAATGTTTTTGAATTAAATCACGTTTATGAATCAGAAATTTACTCATTTTGTATGATTTTTTCAAAAAAAGCCCAAATTTTTTTTAAATTAAATCTCTGTTTCCTTTTTAAGCAAGAAACTGTTTTTATCTC